TTTAGGGTAGGTATTTTTAACCAGGTATAATCTTTTAAAATACTATAGCTGATACTCTGTTGTTTTTATATGTTTAACACAGAATGTGGACACGGCAACTCTACAGAAGACTCTTCCAGCAGTCTCAGCTGCGATGCCTCCCCTCCCGCTATTCAGGAGGGTGAATGGTATAGGAAGGACAGGTTGTTCGCGAACGGCAACAGAGAAGTATGTTTTGCTATTCAGCTGGAGAGGATCCCCTCGTTCCACATCGCCACCACTATCGGGCCCTGCGTTATCCTGGTCGTACTGATGGTCATCACCTTCGTCATGCCACTGGACAGGGGCGACCGGATCTCGTTCGGAGTGACCATTCAACTCTCCATGGTCGTGTCTCTCGTGTTCGTCACGGACGTTCTTCCTGTCAAGGGGGCGCTGCCGTTTTTTGGTCAGTAAAGATAGATACTGCCTGGTTGTGTTCCTATTACCTCCATGAAAAATGGAGGTACTGTTTTTGACGTGTCTCTGTGTGTGTATTTGTGTTGCCGCACATTTGTAGTCATCAACTTTACAACGCCTTTAATGATTGTGATATTTAGTTATTTTATCTTTCATTGCAGAGGTTACATTAAAAGTTCAAAATTCATTGTTTAAATTTTGAACCAACCTGCTGTGTTGACTTCATGCCTCCTATCGTACCATTTTATGCAATAATAGGATGCCTAGACCTGTTTTTAAAACAATTTTCGCCTGTCCACACCATTAATTTTTATAGAAAAATGCATTAACCAAAAAATAGAATTGGTGTGGCCTCATGTTTTACGAGTTGCAAGTCTGGAAACGTCTTCAGTGCCTGCCAGCTGAATACATTATTTTTTTAAGACAAAGTCTGGGAAGTCATATTCTTCTTGGAAGCCATCAGAGCAGCGAGTTAAAGATAGAAAACGATTGTTTTCAGATTACTACCTACACAGCGCCGCCTTAGTTAGAAAGTGGTTGGGATACATAGTATTACTGTGTGACAGCTGTAGCTGTTAATAACAACGGGAATTGTTCCAGCCGAGCTGATGGTCGTGTACATGGCCCTGATGGGAGTGTTCCCCTTCTTCACCATGGACGTAATCACCATCCACGACATGGAGGGGAGCCTGTCTCCGTCCGCGAAGACTTTCTTTCTCCGCCACATGGCAATGTATGTGCTGATCGTAGATTATTAGAAAGAATTGGAAAATGCATCGGGCATGGGATCCATTTGTATAGTCGCATCCGGTAATGGGTTTTATGTCGCACATAGACACTGTTGGAATTTGTTCTAAAGAAGTCCATCGCATACGAAAGATTTACATGTGCGTTAACTTTCTTCAACTTTCTTCTGAGAGCGGTTCTAGTCATGGCAGTAATACACTTTCGTGAAGGCTCGTTAGTTTTGTCGCATGCCTCTGAGCTCGTGTACGTGGAATGCGAAACTAGTAACCTGAATAATAGACTGTACCATCTGGCAAAATTGATACTGTCTTGCAGCCTCTAAAGCTTCCGTGTAGACTATACCTGTTCTAGCCAAACATTCAACCACAAGGTGGCAAACCACTATGCTAGAATGTCCGAGAGCCTGAACCAACGGATATAAGAACTCACTCATTACATTTATGTGTCAACTGCTCAATAGCTATGGACTGAATCCGTGACTGCTGTCTTGTTTTGGGTTCACCACACCACGAAGTATATTGCTTTTTCTGATGTTTCTTCTCCTCCTCCTTCTTCTCCTGCCATTTTTTAAATGGATTCAGCTTCTTCATTTTAGGGCCCAAGGTCCTGAAATTTGGTATGGAGGTACAGTGGGCAAATACCCCTAGGCGTTTTTTAAATTATTGTGATACAGGCTTTTAGAATGGTTTTATTTGAGTTTTTTGGCTGTGTTATAGCCAATGTATTACTGTGTTAGTGTGCCTTGTTTACCACGTTTGGGCATGAGTCATCACAATGGAATGCAGGGCATCAACCAATAGGCATGCAGCTTTCCTCTATTCTTCTTGCTGATTGGCTGATTTAACTTGATCAACACCTGCACAGAGCATTTCCACCTGCACAGAGCATTTCTTGCTGATTGGCTGTTGGGATTTAACTTGATTAACACCTGCACAGAGCATTTCCATACTGACAGTATGTCTGTATTCAAGTGTTTTGGTAGGTATTTCAAACTTTCCTGCTCCAGCATTGGAATGCGGGGCATGTAACGTTTTTTTTTATTTTGAAAATCAACAGTTTGCATTATGCAATTAAAAATCCTAACCAATAAAGTAGGGAATAGCTATCCAACTGTTGTTTTAGTTGTATTTTACTTCATATTATAGTTATATCAATGTAGATCATTGTTTTCCCTTGTGTTTCTCATTTTTTCCCTGCCATGTCGTAAAATGTGGTGAACCCATCGCTGTATTTGCTCCAAAGCAAATATTGGCCTTTCTAGTTAGCACAGTGCTTTGTATCAATTGCTAACAGTAATTGTCGTGGGAAATTATATTGTCTGTAACCTGTATGTTTGATGGGTCTTTTAATCTTGCGCCTGTATAACATGTTTTAGAATATATATTTAGTATATCAGTGCTTTGTGATTTGGTTTACGATTCAATTTTTATTGCAAAAATATAATAAAACCTTATTCAAACTTGAATGAATCTTGATTATGAAGCAAACTATTTGTAGGCAAATTGTGGATTGCTTGACGCCCTATTGATTATAATTAGTATGATATATTTTTTTAAATTTCTTTTTTTTTTATTCAACAAAAGAAAATAACAAAAGAGATGAACCATCCAACTTGACAACATGCGTACAGTAATACGTATAATTAGGATGACATATTACATCGTCGTATGTGAGAGGTTCTACTATCTTGATTGCCATGTTACTATTCCGTTGATGTTTTGTTTAGGATGCTGCTGCTGGGAGACCTCACGAAGAGGAAGGGTCCAAGCGACGACGGAGAGACTAAAGTGACCAGCCACACCGTTATAGAGACGGCCATCGAAGACACAAGGGCTGTCTCCGGAGACGACTGCACCGACGTCTGTGGAACAAATCACCACCCATTCGCACCGGACATGACCGAGACCGTTTGTAAGAGTCCCTCCAGTGTGAACGAGCGCACCACGGCAGGCAACAACCAGACACAGGAGCTTGACGAGCTCTTTAAAGCAAAGGATAACGAGGAGGAGAAGGAGGTGTCCGACTACACCCTGCTGGCCAATGTCCTGGACAGACTGTGTCTTGTCCTGTATGTCATCTGCATCTCAGCGGCAGTGCCCGCGACCATGTATCTGGGGAAGTAAACATCTAGGTTGGGATATTTTCAATAAGACGCAGCATCATTGATGTCTCTTTATTGTTTCTCACAAGTTCAAACACATTTTGGCAGGAAAGGGCACAGATGTGCCTTCCCGGAATTACGTGAGTTTATTACAACAATATTGTCCCACATAGCTATGTACAATAAACTACGATGAAGACTGCAATAACAATATATTAAAATGCATTCAAATATAATATAGAAAGCAGGAAACCAAACAAACCCAACCGATCTGTACCAGCTTTTATGCTAGTTATAGGTGGAACATACACAATAACTTGAGCTCTTAAATATTGACGATGGTCTAAAATTGGACCTAGCCTGACGTGTGAAGTTACTTATACCAGATAATTCTTAAATATTGACGATGGTCTGAATTTGGATCTAGCTTGATGTGTGGAGGTACTTATATTAGAGAGTTCTTAAATATTGACGATGGTCTAAATTTGGACCTGGCTTGATGTGTAAAGGTAATTAAATTAGAGAGTTCTTAAATATTGACGATGGTCTGAATTTGGACCTGGCTTGATGTGTGAAGGAACTTATACCAGATAATTCTTAAATATTGACGATGGTCTAAATTTGGACCTAGCTTGATGTGTGAAGGTACTTATACCATAGAGTCCTTAGATATTGACGATGGTCTGAATTTGGACCTAGCATGACGTGTGATGGTACTTATACCGGATAATTCTTAAATATTGACGCTGGTCTGAATTTGGACCTAGCGTGATGTGTAAATGTACTTATATCATAGAGTCCTTTAATATTGACGATGGTTTGAATTTGGACCTAGCGTGATGTGTGAAGATACTTATATCATAGAGTCCTTTAATATTGACGATGGTCTGAACTTGGACCTAGTTTAACGTGTAAAATGTACTTATAATCAGATAGTTCTTAAATATTGACGATGGTCTGAATTTGGACCTAGTTTAACGTGTAAAATGTACTTATAATCAGGTAGTTCTTAAATATTGACGATGGTCTGAACTTGGACCTAGCGTGATGTGTAAAGGTACCTATATTCGAGAGTTCCTAAATATTGACGATGGTCTGAATTTGGACCTAGCTTGATGTGTGAAGGTACTTATACTAGAGAGTTATTTAATATTGACGATGGTCTAAATTTGGACCTAGCTTGATGTGTGAAGGTACTTATACCAGTTAGTTCTTAAATATTGACGATGGTCTAAATTTGGACCTAGTTTGATGTGTAAAGATAATTATACAAGGTAGTTCTTAAATATTAGTGATGGTCTGAATTTGGACCTAGCGTGATGTGTGAAGGTACCTATATTTGAGAGTTCCTAAATATTGACGATGGTCTGAATTTGGACCTAGCTTGTTGGGTAGAGGTACTTATATTAGAGAGTTCTTAGATATTGACGATGGTCTGAATTTGGACCTAGCTTGACGTGTAAAATGTACTTATAATCAGAGAGTTTTTAAATTTTGACAATGGTCTGAATTTGGACCTAGCTTGTTAGGTAAAGGTACTTATATAAGAGAGTTCTAAAATATTGACGATGGTCTGAATTTGGACCTAGCTTGTTAGGTAAAGGTACTTATATAAGAGAGTTCTTTAATATTGACCATGGTCTGAATTTGGACCTAGCTTGACGTGTAAAATGTACTTATAATCAGAGAGTTCTTAAATATTGACGATGGTCTGAATTTGGACCTAGCTTGTTAGGTAAAGGTACTTATATAAGAGAGTTCTTAAATATTGACGATGGTCTGAATGCGGACCTAGCGTGATGTGTGAAGGTACTTATACCAGAGAGTTCTTAAATATTGACGATGGTCTGAATTTGGACCTAGCTTGACGTGTAAAATGTACTTATAATCAGAGAGTTCTTAAATATTGACGATGGTCTGAATGTGGACCTAGCGTGATGTGTGAAGGTACTTATACCAGAGAGTTCTTAAATATTGACGATGGTCTAAACTTGGACGTAGCTTGACGTGTGAAGATGCTTATATCAGAGAGTTCCTAAATATTGACGATGGTCTGAATTTGGACCTAGCTTGATGTGTGAAGTTACTTATAAAATGTAGTTCTTAAATATTGACGATGGTCGGAATTTGGACCTAGCTTGACGAGTGAAGTTACTAACACAGAGTACAATGAAGTTGGATGTCCATATCGTTGGTGAGGAACACTTTTATCATGTGAGCAGAAGAATCGGAACAGCGATAGATGCGGACTAGAAAATGTCTTACCTTGTGGCCTTAAGATTAATGCCAATGACATCTTAGAGGATAAACTGTCAATTACATCTGTCTGAAACATGTGTAAACCCTTCACACATGGAGTGTGATGATGCTCAATATTGAGACCCCTTTTTCTTTTATCAAGTCTATATATTACATAGGTAACGGTAAGGTAAGGTTAGATCCCAGTCTGTACTGTTGAAACGTCTTTACATATCGAAAGGGAAGGACCATCTTAAATTTTTGTATATACTAACTTGTCAATATCCTAAAGTTAACATCTATATGCGATCCAAAGTAACATCTCATGAAACGTTTGTATGTAACCGTTCACACAGTAAAGCATAATACATACATGTTATGTTTTAATGTATTTCAATTGTACATCAATGACATTAGCAGACTTTTTGTCATCTAATATTTCACGAACGCCTTAAAGAACCTATACCTCGTCAAGAACTTGAGTTATCCTAAAAGGCTTGAATAACGGACTAGGTAAAATTGAGTGGGATGCTAAAGGTCCTGTAAAGGAAAAGTAACATCTGAATCAGAGCGAGTTGAATGTTGAAGTACGATTGTACATGTAGTTCAGCAATCAGACCCTGGTGACAATCAAGAGTCTAATTTAAAAACAGTTTAACACCAACACTGTTATATCTGCTGTCTGTCATTGAGACTGGTGTTGTTAAGGATGCTTAAGATGTTTCTCGTGTTGGGATTGCTACAATAAACGGAGATTATGATTAAATTTGCATCTGTGATTTTTGACCCGTGTGTCGTGTATGTGTATATCATGTGTGGTTGGGTGTTTTTGATCTGGTCCGAATGTAATGAAATACAATGCATATACACACCAAATGTATGTGCATTCACTTAAGTTACAATTAAGGATGTAGTCAAAATTCTTTTCTGAATTTATCTCCGGCATGTAAAGACTCGAACCCGGAACCTCTTGGTTCCGAGTCGAGCGCTCTACCGCTACGTCAGACGTTGTAATAATAACAATAAACAAGTCAATGTCATGTGAAGCTGTGGAACAGTACAGTCTGCAGACCTAGCTTCTTGCCGAGAGCGGTGTATGACGTACTAACTAGTTCACTGAACCTGGATTAATAAAGAGGAGTCCTGTCAGCTATGCGACCGGGAGGACACAGACCTGAAGCACATCCTGTCAGCATGCAGCACGACCAAAAATATCAGCTAAGATTAAATAAGGTTAGCAAAAGAAATTACGAACAAAAAACATGTGCCGGTAATTCAATTATGACTTTTAGTAACATTAACACAGGCTCTATTTTTGGACACTGTCACCAGGTGTTTTAATACGTGCAGAGTTCCTTCAAACAATCAGGCCTTCTGAAGAACCAACAAAAGCTACATTATCACTCGCTAATTGCCGTATGCCAGTTTAAATTTGAGATTTTGTTGATTTTCGACACTAAGGACTTTTTATTTGCTTTAGCATAAAATGTGTTAAACATGACATTGTCCTTGCCTAATTAAAGTAGGTCAGTTTCAAATTAAAGTTTTCTGGTTTTTCTCCACAAAATGCTGTTGGTTTTCTTTACAAAATGTAATTAACATGTCATTATCACTGTCTAATTACAGAATGTAAGTTTTAAATTGAAGTTTTGTTCCGGTTTCCCACCGGTTTTAATTTAATTTGCAAACGCCTTTGCGTTGTCAAGCATGGTAATGAAGTAATCAACACCTAATAATCGGGGGTCAACACATAACTATTTACTCTGTTTATTTGCGAACGACCTTACGGACGATTGGCTTTTGTCATGCTAGCCAAGTATTCATGTCCATGGTAACCAGTTGTAAGAAAATTATCTGTGGGCTGTATATATATATCTATACGTCGCAAACACACACACTAGCCTGCCGAGTGGACGCTGACATACTGATCAGTTGGTACACCTGCAAACTTTACCAGGCCGCCGCAAGGTTTGTCTATTTTTGCTAAATTTAAACCTACCATGTCTAAAAAAAGAGGGAGGAAGGCATATTAGGTATATTGTAATTTTTTACCGGGGCCTCACTTGAAAGAAAATCGAGAAGTTCGTTTGAATTGTCTTTTAGAGGGCGGTCATTTATACTTAGCAATAGCGATATGTGCGTAGGTATTGTATATGTCTAGTCAAGGCAGATGATCTAAGAGAAAAGAAGTATAAAAATACGCTGTAAATTTGTACAGGGCTTGATTTGAAAGCAGCCGTGTGAATAAATGCTTATGAGCCAACCTGGCGAATATTATTACATGAGTGATTCTTCCACACTTTCGTATTTAATCTCTATCGATTTAAATAAAAGAGTAAAATCGAAATACAGCGTGTGTAGTGCAATGGAAAATTTACCCCTTTTACTCTCTCATTTGATGCAGAATGGCGGGAAAGTGTGCTGTAACCATGGTGATGATGGTGATACTTGTTGGTCTTCTGACAGACCAGCCCGGCGTGTTGTCTGCACCAGTGAAACCTGAATCAGACGGTAATTACAGCTTTGCTAGACAGTTTTGAAATTGGCGGACTACAGGGCCTTTTTTCAATACTTTGGTAAAGGATTTGATTTGATTTGATTTATTAGGCTGATAACACTCATGTATGCAGCCAGGATAACAAGTCAAAAGAATCATTTTCGGCATGTTTATTAGATAGCTTAATCTGGAACCTGAATCAGACGGTAATAACAGATTCTTTAGCCAGTATTTAATATTGAATTGGCATAATTACCGTACATATTCGTTGAAGACATTACAAACGG